AAAAAATGTATTTAAACCAGATTTTATGTTACGCATGAAAATCAGTGATAAAGAACTTGAATTAGTTAATATAGAAACAGGACAGCCGGAATCAGATTGGTGAAAACAAATATCTGACATAATAGGCTAGCACGTGGCGCTAAAGATGCTTTTGAGGATTTTTCCATCAACGGAAGTGTGAAAAAATATGAATATGATAAATTGACAAAGATTTTTTGCCTTAACATTAAAGGTAAATGATGATTGAAAGGTTAATATTTTTTTTACAAAATTTCTTATTTATTATTTTATGTTAAAGACGGTATTTATCTATTCATATTTTTTCCAAAACCAAAGAAGGATATTATCGTTTTGTTAAGATGCGTTAGGTTGAGATTCCCTGTTTGAAAGCAAGCCTGAACAAGTATTTGAGCTGATGCAATTATTGTTGGAACTACGAGTATGTTTGTCTCTTTATTACGATGGGTTTATTACGTTTGAACATTTGATTGATGTGGAAATTTGTAATAATTTTAAGACTGCTGTAATTACAATAGTTAGGATGCTATTTTGTCATTTCACAACAAAACATTCCAAAAAGCCAAATAAGAGTACTGTTCATAGTATAAAGTATAATTTTGTAACAATAGGAACACCAAAAGGTATTAAGAAACGATAACATGATGCTGGTATACAAAATTAGAAATTGCTATAGCAAAGCTGTGATAATAAAAATCGATGTTAAATTAAGTAATTCATGAGTAAATATGTTGTCGCCATTAACAGTAAAAGAATAAATGCCTGAATATTTAACGGTGATGTGCTTTATTAGTGTTAGTTTCAAATAATGATCAGATATTTTAACATTCATTTGATTCCTATAAAAGATATCTATTAAAATGTATAGTTGAGCCAGCACAAAAATAAGGGAATGTAAATCGGCCATCATTTATTGAATATGATTCATGAATTTATTCAAACAAATATTTAATAACCTTTTCCGGTAAACATAATGTTGGTAAATTAATTCGTAGTTCTGGTAAACATAATGTTGGTAGAATTAATTCGAACTCTGGTAAACATATTGTTGGTAGGTAAAATTTGTGAAATTTTCAGAAATCAAAATTACATGTAAATTTGATCATGTGAATAATTTTGGCTAAAACTTTTATAAATCCGGCATAAAAGTAAGTATAAAATTATAGTTTCGAACATAACTATTAATGCTGGCAAAACTTTTGTAACGCTGGCACAATTATAATGACAATGCATTTTGGTAGAATTAATTCGTAACTCTGGTGAACATAATTGTGTAAATTTTGGTAGAATTTAATTCGTAACTCAGGTAAACTAAATTTGATATATTTGGTAGAATTTAATTCGTAATTCTGGTAAACATAAATTTGATAGAATTAATTTCGTAACTCAGTAAAACTCTGGTAAATATAACTTTGAGAGAATTATTTTATAATTCTGGTAAATACAATGTTGGTAAATTAATTCGTAACTCTGATAAACATAATATTGGTAGATTAATTAAGGGGACATCTAAAGCAGAGCAGATTCTTATAATATATATTTTATTGAATTAACTTTAGGGTTAGGGTCATCTTATATTGGGGTTAGGTGAGGTTTCAGATAGTTATATATAAGTAAAATTGCCTTCCCGACATTTTTAATTAACCTACCCGAGGTAGGTTTAGACTGCCGTTTTTTTTATTTCTTGTTTTGCTTCACCGACGATCATCAAAATTCTATAATTTGATTGGTCGTATATCACGTGATTCTGCTCCGCTTTAGACGACCCCTTAATGTTAATTAAGTAATTTTGGACACTCTAGAATAGAACACATGAAAGCTTAACAATTTATTTGAATAAATGTGATATCGACCAAAATAAATCAGTTTTTAACATGGGCATATTCTGGAATATTTAACAGTTCTTCAGAAATTAAAAATGCTATTTTATCACTATCACCCGGTTTAATTTTATGTCCCATTCTTTCTTCTTTAACTTTCGCTACCATCTTTACTCA